TTTTTTTTTTTTTAATTATTATTATTTTTTATTGTGTAAAAGCAGATGCCTCTACCCTCCAAGTAAACCAGGTTCCAAATATGAGTAGCACTGTTGGAACTGTGGGATCTGAATTAAGCTCTTGAAGARTAATGCATTTGTGACTATGTAATAGTATTCATGTTGATTGTCATACTATTTAGAAAGTTATTTTTGCTTATAGCTGAAATGGTGTCTAAAAATCTTTTTAAATCCATTTTGTAATTAACTAGATTTGCCCTTGACTAAAATGAGACTGACTTTATTTGCAAATGGGTTTTGCTCTCCCTAGGTTTTTTTCACAGATAAATTGGGTGGTCTAATGATCAGTTTAGCAGCTCAATAAGATCTTTTTTATGTGCAAAGGGAAGTTCTTGTACTATCAGATTCTATTTAATTTGAAAATCTAGTCTTAAAGTTTGATAGTTGTAGCCTGAATTGCAGTCAAAGTGTTGACCTTTATGTTTTAGTTCTTCATTTAAAAGTATTCTCAGATCAAACCTGAGAGATTTTTCTTTCTGAACAGCTTTCATCGGTGTGCTGAGGTGTCGTACAAAAGGTCCTTCTCACAAATTTTCTTTTGCATCAGAGTAGGTGCTTAGCCACTATCTGAGAATCAGATGACCCCCTGTCTAAGAAAAGAAGAATTTTAAAATGAGCACCAATGAATTAGTGGTCATGGAAACATGTGTTCTGGGAGTCATGAGTCTTTAAGTGYGCCCTCACCAGCTACACACAAATCTGGCTGGTCTCTGGTCTTTAAAACCAATACAAAAACAAAGTGGTACATTTTTACAGTTTAATTGTTAGTGATAAGATTCATCTTTGGGATTTTTTTCTTTTCTATTTTTTTTTAATTTTTAATCATTGAGTCTCCCAGGTGTGTGTATTGTACCTCTGCTGATTTTTGTCTTGTCTCTTGTCAATAGACTTCAGTATGCAGAATGTTGGTTGTTACAGTACAGTTGGTCACCACCAACTGCTATGAAACTGTTCAGTACATTGTAATTCCGTTTAATCTTGTTTGAATATTCTATAACTGGGCAAAGGTGCTGTATTTGAAGGGGGGAGGGAGGGTCAGAGATAGGTAGGGTAGTATTTCTTAATTTACATACACTGTAGCACACAGTAGGGAACTCYTAGCATTTGTAGTACTAAATAAGTATGTACATAACAAAATGTCTTTATTGTGTGCTTTGCAGAATATGTGCATACAGTTTGCACGTCCTGTTTTGGGGGGTAGGGTTTGTTTTAAGCAGTGTTTGCCTGGAGAGTGATATGCTTGCTGCTTAATCAAAGGATTAAAGTTTCAAAGAAATCTGTGTCTTCTATTTTTATGTACCTTCTAATGGTCTAATATGTTAGGGCCCTTATACTGTGATTCTCTTCTAAATTCATTTATATTTTTTTAAGAATTAGAAATAAAATTATACAATGGTGTTGATTTCAGTGGGAAATTTCTTTTGCCATGTCTAGTCTCCTGTTTTGTAATGTAGTAATGAWCTCTGACTTCGAGGTTGGCTTAATTTTGTCACTTTAAAAAATGTACAATGTTTGCACACTAACGTTTGGCAGAGAACGTGTATCCTACATTGTTCAAAGCTAATGTAACTCTACAGCTTTTTGTACAGTTTATTTTAGTTAATAAAGCAAAACGGTACTAAAAAATCACATTTTACAAATGCAAGGAATAATCAGAACAACATGTGTTCTACAAACAACACTTGCAAAATATGGATGTACAAGAACTATCAGATTTAATTGTTGCACTTTAAATCAGAATGGGTATGAAATTGAGCAGGTATTTTCTGCATTTAATAAAACAATCACTAAACATTGCACATCATAGTAAAGCAGTTTACTTTGTTGCTCTTGAGCCAAAGGGATTAGGTACTTTTGTCCTTAGGTTTTTGTTCATCCTTAGGATGTTGGGATTTTTCTTTTTTCTGAAAACCTCACAATGCATCAAGAACAGAACACAAAMCAGTAGCTTATTGATGTGGGAGTTTGTGTAGGGATAGAGGCATACTTCAGAGTTTAGGGAATAGTTTGGGATTAAGGTTACTGTAACTGTGTTGTGCTCCTTTATAGCAAAAGAATGGAATAGACTGAATTTACAGCTGAGGCCAGGTGTAAATGTGGTTGCGAGGCAAAAGCAAGGCCAAGCACCATGAAGTAGTGTTCTTGGAGATGTTTCACAATGCAGGGGAAGTCGTAGAGAAGTCAGCGATGGTACAGTGTAAACGGCATTGAATATAGCGCAGTAGTCCTGCTAAATGTGCTGAACCTCTGGCTTTTCCTGAGGCTGAAGCAGACGAACCTCAACCTTTTTACTCCAGCATGAGTGAAAACCAGGCATTGAGGGGATRGATGTCTGTTCTAGGCAATTGTATATGAGATGTAAAAGGCAAACATAAATTCTTTAACACTACTCACAGTCCACTGCTGATGAATTAGGCATCAAAAATGTACAGGGASGGGGGAGAAGCACAATATACAGGAAACAGTACCTGTACTATTTAGTTACAGAACAGACATCCTCAAAATTAACACTAAAGTACAACTTTGGAAAATAAATGCTTCATATTTACCACTAGTGAAGGCTGCTGATTTCTAGTTCTATCAATTCTTTAATCTTAAAGCTCTTTTATAGTGCAGTTTTGTACACTGGAAGAATTCTAGCAGCAMAGTAAATCCTCATTGCTGCTACTGACTTGGCAGTTTTCCCTTGGACTGGCACAAAAGGAAGCACTGAATTCAGGGATTGTGATCTCTACTGCAGTTTCAAGGATTTGTTTTATGCAGACCAGGCCTCCTGTTATGCTCACTGAGCCTTAGGACTTTGGATTTTTTAACTAATGCCTACACCCTGATATCTGGTGATTTTATTGACGGATCTTCATCCCCACAAAGCACTGTTCTGGGGAATTGTCATATTCTGCACTGGGATGACAGTGCAGCCAATGTCCATCTTGGGAGCCTGATCCCATCTCTAAACTATTCATTTAGATTTATAAATATTTAATTACAGAAACATAATGCCTGTTGTTCTGATGGATCTTCCAGTGAACTTCCTGGCAAGTACTACGCAGACGAATCAAGATATTCCTAAAAGCTAATCTTTGAAAAACCCAATTTTTGCAAGAATGAGTATTTTTAGAAGTGTCTGTTGTAGTAATGTCTTCACTGGACTCCCGGAGTCAATGCAATATGGACTGACTCTCTCGGGAGTGACAATTCTGAGTCATTTTAGCAAAAGAATAATCTATCTGAAACCGTCTTATTAGTATTGGTTTTAGAGGTCCTTTGAAGACAATCCAGATAACGTGGCCCAATTATTTCTGTCTTTTTAAAGCCTTAGTGCTTTTGTGTGTGTGCTAGGAGGGTGTGTTCCTTAGAGACTGGTTTTCCTAGAAGTGGTTTAATGTGAAAGACAGAACAAAGTGCAGCGGCAGGTGATGGGGAGCAAGCAGCAAAGCGCTCGCATCAGAACTGTTGTTGGCTGGAGGAGGGCGGTGCTGCCTGCCTTAGTAAGGAACCCTTCGGCACGGGTCATTAGCCAGCAATACTGGCATGTAATCGTCAGATAATAATAGCAAATAATAAATGGCATGTGGCGTGTCCGTGTCCTTTGCCTGCTTAGCATGGGCTTTATTTCGCCCTTCCAGTCCTGCAGGTGTAAATAACGAGGGAGCAACTACCTGCCCTCCCTGCAGGCAGGCGGAGGGCGGGCAGCGAGTGATGTGTCCGAGCGCAGCTCCTCGTTACCCGCTCCTGGAAAACTCGCTGGATGCGGGGACGGCTCTCCCGAGCCTCATCGAACCGCACAGGGCGTTCGGGAGGCTGCAGGGCGGTGTGAGCCCGGAGCCGGCGCTGGTGAGGATGGGCGCAGAGGAGCCTTCCCCAGCCGCATGTCCCGGAGCTGCCATCCCTGAGGCGGCGGGGGATGCCGTCTCCTCCTTCCGCGGCCCGGGAGCGCCGCCGGCGCCCGGAGCGGAGCGGGGCGGTGCCGCCGCCGGGGTCTCCCCGCCCGGGGGTTGCCATGAAACCGAAAGCGGCTCCCGCCCGCGGGG